GGATCAATCAACCACGGGTTGGCGGTTAAACGACGTTTGTGAAACTGGCCCTTACTCGGTAAGGAGTAACGGTAACTAGCTACTTTTAAAGTAACTTTCCTATCCCTGATACGCCGCGCATATACTGCTCTTTTCATTTCCCCGCACCTGCATATCCAATTCTATGAGCGCTTTTACCGGCGCCTCCGGTAAATTGTAGATAGTGGGGTGATGCGTCTCGCGGTGGTTCTGCACTGCTTCTTCAAACGTGTGAATTTTCCACTTGTAAAACTGCGCGATCCACACATTATCTATGGGTTCGGACCTCTTACTGTCGTCCAATATAATCTCGTTTATATCAATTTTCTTCTTCTTGGCCTCGCTGATCGGCAAAGGAACGAACATCGACATTAATGCGTTAATATTGATACCTTCTGCGTACAATACGAAAACCCACTTACATCTTCGCCGCTCTCTGGTTGTGCGGGATAAAACCCACTTTTTCAATCACCACTTTGACCTTTTTCTTCCTCGCCTTTTCTCTCGTGCCTTTCCTGGCGGCGTAGTTTCGCGCCTGCAGGAAACCGATGGGGCAAAAATTGAGGCACGCCGCGTGCCTGTAGGTCGCGAAAAGATTGTTCAACAACCAGCCTGTAAAAGAGAATCGCCCTTAGAAAAAGTCATATCTCAATTGCAGTAGCGAGCAAATATAATGACTTGAGGTTATGTTTAACGACCGCTCGAGAAAAAGCACCCACTACGAAGGAGCGCGTCTTACTCGCTGAGCGGCAGGCGAGAAAGCGTTTAATTAATTATTTTTCCGTATACTGTTAACAGGATATTAAAGAGAACAAGAAGAGGCGCATGTACCATTTGCCGCTGCCGCCATATTTTAATCAAGCAGAAGAAACGGAGCACGAACTAGTGGCTCTGCTAGGCCGCGTTCAGAAACACCACCCGAGTAGTCCGGGTGTCATTCTATCCTTGTTGCTCGCCGTATGTTAAACAAGGACAAAATGGGGCGTTCGGGTGGCGTTTCTGAACGCAGACTTACAGATAGCAGCTAGCGTTGACCGCGTTCAGCGGGAAAAAGTAGCTTTCCAACTTGTAAAATTCGTAAATTTAATTGGAAAAGTATGCCTTGTACGGTACAGCCTGGTTCCTAATAACTTTAGATTTCATCGCTCATGAATTCTTCCCTACTACAAATCTTAATTACACAATTCTACCAGCCGTACACACCCGGCGAGCTTTTATCTACCTCTAGCCGAAATAATAAAGTAGATAAAAGGAGGGCGAAATGAAATCCGTCTCGTATTTCACGACGTTTTTTATTAATGTACCATAATTAATTTATTTAGCCTTCTTGCTCTTGATCTTCCTCATGTAAAACTCGAGCTCCTTGCCCTCCAGGATGTAACCGTCAGCTCTACCGCATTGGCCAGGCCTGCTTGCAATACAAGCTGAAAGTAAAATTACCTATTAAAATTATTCGTGTTAAGCTCGAAATGTGTATATAGACGCTCTATAACCGTGATTCAAATGATAAAGCACCCTCTTTTATACTCTACTCGAAAACATGTTAAAGGACCGAGGCCCATATTCTGCATCCTCTTTTATCGATAGAAGCCCTCGTGAAAGATCCTTTTAGCCAACAACGATCGTTCGAAACCAATTTTAGTGGCACTTTTAGCGAGGATGCAGAATATAGACGCCAACTCCACAAAGAACAAAAAGAATTAAGAATTTGCCATACCAAGAACACGTCCCGTCGCAAATTGCTCCTCCAAGGCTTGCTCAACCTTAGCGAATCGCTGTCTGGCCTTGTACTTGGATTCTGCCTTTTTAGAACGCTTCTTATTCAGCACCTCCTCCTCAGCTTCCGTCTAAAAGAAAAAAAATGACAATCTCACTCCGTTTCTGCATTCCGCACGCGAAATACTTGACCAAATTCAAGTCGAACGCTCACCAATTTGGCGCCCCTCTTGCGGCCCAGCGGCAGCACGTAGTGGCCCTCGTACCACTGCCTGAACGGCGTAGCGTCGATGGTGACAATGGCGTTCTTCACCAGAGTCTTGGTTCGCACCAGCTCGTTGTTCGATGCATTGTAAACGACGTCAATAATACGCGTCTTCCTGGTGCTGCACTCGGAGCCCCAGGAAAAGTTACCCGCGTCCAATCTGAGCGCTCTGTACTTCTTATTGCCTCCACGCGTACGCACCTGACATGCAAGCGCAAAACGCATACGTTTTACAACTAACTTCGACAAGTTACAAATATAAATTTATAAGACGTGCATCAGATCGCTGTGAGATTAATGAATAATCATGGCACTCAGAGTAGGTAAGGATATCATCAGTACAATCTCGTAACGGAGTAAATCGTCAAAATGCTCTCTTACAAACAGTTGTAACAATGTAAACATTTCAGTGACATTATCTTATTTAAAAAAAAAAACACCGCTCAATCGCAGCTCTCTTTCTTACAGTATTAATATTTATCTCAACTAATGCCTGCTTAGCTTCACAATTCAATTGTGGTAGAAATTAGGCTTGAGCTTACAGTATGAATCCGCTGTGGTCCAAGCTTGGTGTTCGCAGCTGGACGTCCCAATTCGAACTTCCTCTTCTTGCGGATAGGTTTCCTCTTCCCACCGGTGGCTCTCCGTTTATGCCAGTGATCCCGAGAGATACCTGCGTAATATCGATAAGCGACTCAGTAAACTATAGCTCTTGGCAAACGCGAGCTCGTCGGAGCCCCTTGAAAGTTAACCTAACCGGTACAGCAACGCGTCGACGTTGCAAAACCCGGTCTCTACGTGGAACACGGAAAGTCCTGAATGCGCGGATAATTCGCCCTATCTGCGTACGCTCGCGGTGCGGTTTTCGTCGACAAATAGGAGAGATACGAAACGTCACGAAGGCAGCACGCGTTCGACGAAGCCGCTCGGCAACGACGAGCGTAGAGGTGACTTTCGCGAATGCAGGGCGAGAATACGAAAATAATATTTCCCGTCGGCAAAAGGCCGGTGTCCGATTCACGCGCCGATTGCATCGCGTCGTGATATCGCGACGAGAAAACCCGGATTCACGACGATGAAAATTAATCTCGGTGAAACCATTTCACTCACCCATCTTGCCGCGAAGCAAAAAGAACGCGGAGTTACGAAATACTAGAACAACCCACCGTTGTGAGCATGGAGGAAAGAATTGAATGGAGAGAGCCACTTCCCCTCGGCCTGTCTAAACAGACATGGGGGGGGGGGGACAGTAAGCGCCATATTGGTGTGGCCAACTGGAGCGCGACATTTGAAATAGTAATAAATACAATGTCGAAAAAATGATACACTCTTTAGATAATTTTATTTCTTGTAATGTACGTAGTTGTAAAAAATTGTAATATGCTAAACTTTCCAATTGAAACAAATGAATCGTAATTTATAAACTTAAAAATTTTGTAATGTAACATAAGTAACGATATACTCTTTTATCTTAACAGCGAAATGTATATATCCTGGAATAATATGATCTCAAGTACAGCTCTGAAGATGTATATTGCAAGATAAAACTCGAGGGAAATATAAATATAATGAATAGGGTTAGGTTTGAAATCAAGTGAAAATATAGAAGTTTGTTCTTTATAGCTGAACTAGTGCAGCTTGTCTATAGAGTCCCTGTAGTAAAGACTGGTTTATGCAAGGCCGTAACTGTATCACTGTATCACCGTAACTGTACCTCGTCTACATAGAAAGTCAAAGGCGTAGTCGTAAGAATAGTCGACTATGATTAGTCAATTCTTATGTGTCTGACGAAATTGACCAATCGCAGTCGATTATTCTTACGACTGCGACTCTGCGACTCTCATTGGCCGCGTTCAGCAGACACAACTGTTGAGTGAGCGCTCAGTATGATTGGTTAATACTTTTAGATCCAGCCAATCATATTAAGGATCTAAAAGTGTTAACCAATCATACTGAGCGCTCACTCAACAGTTGTGTCTGCTGAACGCGGCCATTGTAGACCCCGCACTACACGCGATTAAGGATGACGTGCAAACGTAGCCCATAGCTAAATATTGAAAGTTACCAAGTTTTCCTTGAACATCTCCAAAAAATATGCAAATAAAGGCCTTGTAGATTTGAAGATATTTAAGATGGCAATAGTTATTTCTCCACCCTGCATACACATGACAATAAAAATAATTTACATAACAAATAAATAGTATTCGCTCACCCGCATAAATAACGGAAGCCTTCGCGGCTTAACGGAAGCAATTCAAATTTAACCGCGTGTACGATTCCTAAAATGGCGACGGGTCACGTGACTTGGGGCTCGCTTACCATCAAAGGTACCGACACCGACGCTCATCGGTGCGCAACTGTATATAGCCAAGAAGCTGTGGCCCGTGGCATCGCGCGGAGATGCAGCCGATAGCGGAATCGCAGTAGAAAGAAGTAGAGAAAGAGAGAGGAAAAGTAGAGGGCGAGGAGAGGAGAAAAAGGAGGAGGGAACAGAAGCACCGCTGCTACCTACACCTCGGCCCGTGCGACATTCACGCGGGTTTCGGCGTCCGCGTATCCCGTGTCACCGGACAGCTCCGGTTTGTTTTTTCCTTTCCTTTTTTTCGTTGCGTTGCAGGCGACTGCACGCACCGCGCGTCACCCCAAGTCATCTCGGTGCCGAGCACGCCTGATTGCCGTTGCCGCCGTCGTCGTCGTCGTCGTCGTCGAACCGGCTGCAGAGAGACTCCGCAATCATGGCTAGTGTCTCCTATCAGATAGCCAATCTTCTGGAGAAGGTAACGAACGGCGCCGACAATGTAACAACGATAGCGATCGGGGGGAACGTTTCGTTTATTCCAGCGAAATCTGCCGTGGTATCTTTTTTTTTCCTTTTCCCCGCGACATAACCTCGCACTCACCCAGGACACCTCTCGGCCGCGGGATGGTTAACCCCACATTCCTGGTGCGGGGCGCGAGATACACCCCCCCCCCCCCCGGTCGTAGAAGTTTACCAAATTCGCGAGATAAAACTCCTTATCGATCGAACGCCGCGCGGTCCGTCCCGCTGTTAAAAGATGCACCTTTGTGCTCTGCCTAGAAGATACGTAAAATATCAGCATTTGTTTAATTCAATCAACTTATTAACGTCAGCTTGTAGCCAAGAAGTGAACTCTACGAAAGATTCTTAGCTCGCTCGCACTTGTCGTTAATATTCATATCATTCCCTGCTCAACTTGTTTAATTGTAAATCATCAGAGGAGACAATGACAATTGATGTGTCGCTGGTGCGTTGCCTTAAAAAAAGAGTCACGCGGAGTCGAAACGGCCTGTAACCTTGTCGACTGGATAGAAGCGATTATAGTGGACGTTTTTTTTTTACTTTAGATATATTTGTCTGTGCTTATCGAGGCACAGTTTTTGTCTGAACAGGCGAGATTCCTTTGTACCGGCTTGGGCCCGGTTTCACCAAACGTCGCTTAACCTTAATCTTGGTTTAATTCGCGTTCGTCTCTTTCTAAGGCCCGGTCTACAATGAGTCGTTAGTCGTTAGTCAGAAGTCGCAACTATATGTTGATCCTTTTCCTTTCTGGGTGGAAGAAAAAGGACCGACATATAGTTCCGACTTCTGACTAACGACTAACAACTCATTGTAGACCGGGCGTAAAGGAGTCGTTGGAAAGGGACAGAGAACGAATTGAGCTAAGCTCATCGTTAAACAACGTTGGCGAAACCGGACCTCCGGCTGCTTAAGGGGCTTTAACTGTAATCTTAGTTTAATTCATGTTTGTCTCTTTCTAAAGTAACAGTTGGAAAGGGACGAAGAACGAATTAAGCTAAGCTCAAAGTTAAGCGACGTCTCTCGGGGCCCCGGGCCGGTATTCACAGTCAGATCTCACATTTAAGACCGTCTTGAATTTATCTAAGGATTGCTATATGGAACATTTCATTGGCCACTGGTAGCCTTACCCGGCTTCGCTTCTACCCTCAGGTCTTCTTTCTCTTGAGTCACTTTTTTAGGAATATTCTTGTTTAATATCTTTTTAAATTTCTCTTTACACACGTGTCAATTTTATTAGAATTAATTTTTCCAGCTTCTCTCAGGTAATCCACAAAGATACACAATACAATTCACCTTTACCAAAACACCTTCTCTCCCCCCCCCCCCCGCAAAAATATAGGAACCTAAACCCAAAATAATTGTTTTTCTATATCGAAGTAAAATTAATTCGGCTACTTGTTATCTCCATATTCTCTTTCTCACTTTTATTATCATCCATTGTTTAAATCTATTTTAATTAAATTTGAAGCTGTACGTCTTCAAAATTATGGGTTTCTAACCTACATCTGATATTTGAATCCGTCTACTTTTTTCGCAGAATTCTGTAAAGTAACATTGTCAAAATTGATCAAGATCTTTCCACGCTTAGATATTAAACTTTGTTGATTTCAGGGTTTGAGATTTGACTTTCCAACTCTAATGCTTTCAGGAGGCAATAGTTGGCTATCCAGATTAAAAAATAGCCTATATTTTTCGCAGAATCCTACTGAATAATTGCGCCAAATTTAGTTGAGATCGGTCCATTGGTATAGAATTGTATAAAGAACATACAGACAGACAGAATTTCATTTTTATACAATACACAGCTGGAGTATCTAAAGATGATCTTAAGGCGGTCTTGAATATAAGATCTGACTATGAATACCTTAGTTTCCATAATATTATGTTAAGATAAAGAACCCATTAGGTGCCACGTAACTGCATGGACAGGTCAAAGATACCCCGATCTTTTACCGACCTGTGAAACGCGTCGGAAAGGACTGGTTTCAACTGGTCTTGCGTAGCATTCAAATTTATATACGTGTTGCAGAACACGTGCTTTGGCCAGCAACAGTCGCATACGTTTGTTTACCTGTAGAGCAATATAGCGTTTAGAGATCTTTTACGCTGTCGGCAGTTTTTCATTAAAATAGCGTCCTTCTTTTCCCAAAAACTTATCCGTACAAATAACATACACATTTCGCAGAACTTCGAGATTTGTTCGGAGCCACAAAAGTGGTTTCCCCCGACAGTCTAAAGTCTAATCTATAATGTGCTCTTTGCTTTTAGAAACATTCTGTTTTGTGGCCGATAAATACGTTTAAAAAATTTGCACAGGTTGATAAATTGTGCAATTGTACTTTGGCAACAAATTTTTCTTTTAAGCACTTTGATTTACTTATATAAAACAGAATGTTTCTAGATGCAGAGAGCAGATTGTAGACGAGGCTTAATAGTTAATGTGATCTTTATAGTTGTTAAAGATCCTTTACTGTGCAATTGTAGATGAATATCTCTAATTTTTTTATCAACGTGTCACACGTGTCTCCGTTATGTTCAACACATAGCTCCTAGTTTCTTGTTGCTTATTAATGCGATAGCGCCTGTACTCCCTTTGCAGATGACGTCCAGCGACAAAGACTTCAGATTTATGGCAACTAACGATTTGATGAGCGAGCTGCAAAAGGACAGCATCAAGCTGGACGATGATTCCGAGCGCAAAGTTGTAAAAATGCTTCTTAAGTTATTGGAGGACAAGAACGGAGAAGTGCAGAATCTCGCTGTCAAATGGTAGATACTGTACCAAAACAATTCATAATAGACCTTTTTACGCAACTGTCCCGTACATTGATTTCTTTATGTAATGACAGCATAAGGTTGCACGGGGAGAGAATTTTCTTTTAAAATTTACCATGAAAATCATGTAATTGTGGAACAACATGGCATTTTGAAGATCTTTATGAGAGTTTTCTGAAATTTTACCTTACATTCTAATAATAAACGTATACTAAAGGCCTGTTCTTTATTACTGCACTACTGAACTAGTGCAATAAGTTAAAATGAAACAAACAGATTACCTCTCATTCCAACTCATTGCAGCAGTTCAGGAGTGCAGCAATAAAGAACAAACCCTTAGTATAATTACTGGTAAAATGTATGGTAAAATTTCAAAAAACTCTTGAATTTTCTCTTGAAATTCACCCTGAAAATCATGTGAGTGTGACTTCCCTACTCTCTAGGCGGGAGTCTCGCAAATTCGACCACTGAGGCATGTATGCCTCGTTATACTTTTCGCAATAAAGTTTCTGTATTAAAATACTGACTGATTAATGTCGACTAAAAAGCTTGATTATTGTTTATTACTGGCAGCTTAAAGAGATTTCTATGTAAATGATTTTAG